CCCCCCCCCCCAGTCTATAGCTTGTCTGTTTCCTCGTTCAATAAAGTGTTTTGATGCATGTGCATTTTCAATTTTTAGGAGGCCTCTTCTATCTAGTTTGTTTAATTCTATTTGTGCCTTTGTTGTTGTTTGTTATCCTCTAGTTTTACAAAAGATTAGGCCCTGTGGTTTTCACCTAGGAATGTCACGTTTTCGATTGAGCATTTAAGTCTTTGATCCATTTTGAGTTAGCTTTTGTGTATGTGGTGCAAGGTTGGGGCCCTGTTTCATTTTTCTGCACATGGAGACCCAGTTTTGCCGGCACCATTTATTAGAGACCCTGTTTCTGCCCCCACAGAATGGACATTGGGTACTTGTCGGAAAGCAGTCATCCTTGCGGGAAGCGCCTGAGTTCTCAGTTCTGTTCTTCTGCTCGGCGTGTCTGCCATTGAACCAGTACCAGGCTGATTTGATCACAGTGGCTGTGTACAGTTGATCTCCGAACAATGTAGGTTTGAGCTGCATAAGTCCACGTGTGTGCAGATTGTTACAAAAGGCCTCGTGAAGCTGGGCAGTCGTTGTGTCAGTCAGTCGGTTGGACACCGCACTATACTTGCTCTCTTGAGGTCCTCTCATGCTGCGCATTGTGTTTAGTGCATCAACAGAAACCTCGAATAACAGCGTGGGACCCATTGCAAGTGCCACTAGTGATTCTGGACGTGTTCCCAAGAAGCAGAGAAAAGTCTGGATGTTACAGGAAAGGTTGAATTGCTGGATAAACGAATCCAATACATGGACCTCTGTGCCTCCACCGCTGCCCCCTCAGCCCCCCAGGAAATCTGTAAATCTGCTGGTGCTGTGCTCACTCCCTCCTCACTGCCATTAGGCCACTTCCAGCTCATAGCAACGCTATACGACAGGGTAGAACTGCCCCCGTGGGCAGTGAGTCTTTATGGGAGTAGAAAGCCTTGTTCTCCTGCAGAATGGCTGGTGGTGTGAACTGCTGACCTTGCAGTTAGCAACCCAACTTGTAACCAACTACGCCAGCAGGACTCCCAGCTTGAAAATACTTCACTTTTTGTGAAATCTCAAAAAGCAGTTGCCATAGGCACTGTTTTGATTAGACTCAGACAAGTATCTTACTGAGAGGACTTGACTGCCACCATCCACTGATCACAGAGGCTTCTTTAGACACATTCTGTTTGGAATAGACTGGTGGTTGTATGAACTGGAGTCTTAGTAACAACGCTTTTTGACTTAACCTCATAGAATACGTGTAACACATAAAGTATTAAATTAATGTATGTGTTATCTGCATGACTTTCAGTCAACAGTTGGCTATTAGTAATTATATTGTTAGGAATCAGAAGTTATAGAGAATGTTGAGTCATTGCCTCTAAAGTCCTTCAACCCTGTGCTGGTCACGGATCAGCTGTGGAGTGTGTTCATATTGCAGGGTGTGCAGCCCTCCTGCTTGCTTCTTCCTGCAAATGGCTTTGCCATACTTGGGGTTTCTTTGCTTCCCATATGGAGTTGGCTCTTGGTTTTTCTGTTGCAGTCAAGAACATTGGGATTTGTATCAAGACTACATTATGTCTGTAGATTGTTTTAGGTAGAACTGACATTTTCACTATATTAAATTTCACCATCCATGAGCACAGATATGTTTCCATTTTCGTAGAGAAAGCGAAAGTCATTAAAAAGACAGGAGAGGGCTAAACTGGGTGTTACTGTAGACTATAAAGGATCCCTGGTGGCGTAGTGGTTGCAAGTTGCTCTGTGATCCACAGGGTCTGCAGTTCGAAACGACCAGCTGCTCCGTGGGAGAAAGCCAGTCGTGAACGGGAGGTTTCAGAGGACAGCCCAGGAAGACACAGTCATGCGCTACAACAAGATGTGCTGAGCACCAGGGGTTAGGAAACCCAAAGGGAAGAACACACTCGGCATTTCTCGGGCTGAAGGAGCCGAAGAAAAGTTCAAGGTGCCATTATCGAAGGCCTGTAAGGGGGAAGGTCGAATGACACAGAGGCGTCAAGAGAAGGTGGCAGGAATATAGTCAGTGACCCCAAACAGCGGGGCAACAAGCAACAGAACGCCGCAGCATCTGATCAAGAACTGGTGGTCTTCAGAGGAGGGTCTGAGCTGCACCGAGGCCTTGGCCAAAAGTTGAAGGAATCCTGACTGAACCGCCCAGATGTGTGCAGTGTAGCTACCTGGCCACCTGACTGGAAAAGATCAATATCTGGGCCCATTTCAAAGAAAGAGAATCCAATAGAATACAGAAATTATCAACCAGTATACTTACTGTCACATTCAAGTCAAGTTTTGCTGAAGGTAATTTAAAAAGGATCGATGTCAGTGGTTCAAGCCCACCAGCTGCCGCTCCTTGGGAGAAAGACGCTGTTTGCTCGCAGAAAGGCGGGTGGTCTTAGAGAGTGCATGTAGGGTCACCACGGGGGGGCCCAGGGGCCGGTGGGGGGTTTGGTGGGAAGGCTTCACTGGAGTGCTCGTCACCTAATGTGCCGCGAGTGGACTGTTTCCCTGTGGGGCGCAGGCTCGGGAGACAACGCTGGATAAAGCGGGGCTGTGTGACCCGAGAGCCCACGGCTTAACCCTTCACCTCCGCCTGTGCTCGGACTCACCCTCAGGCCCTACTGGGGTCCCAGAGCCCGGGAGCCCACAGCAGGTGCCGCTGCTCCCTGCTGACTGCAGACACCCTAACGTGGTGGCTGGGCAGGAGCTTCGCCCCCCTGTGGCCACTGGCCAGAGGGAGCACAGGGCGCAGGGCAGCTAGCTTCCCGGAGCCATAGCCCTTGCCCCTGGTTAATGCACAGAACGGTTAACTATGCTTATAAATTCACAGTATCGGATAAGAAGGTCGTCAATAAGCCAGGAGCAGGTGTATTTGCAAACAACCATATCGACAAATGTCTCCAGTTAGAATTTGTGCTCGACACCAGACGATTTTAAAAGCCATGAGTGTTCTGGGCCGCAGGGACGTTGGTGCCCTGCTCCGGTCACCAGGATGTCCTGGGTGCATCAAGCCGGCAGATCCCCAGGCAGCACCCGTTCAGATCCCTGTTACTTGCTGCCCCTCTGCCATCGTACACCCAGTCTTCCTAGAGTGGCAGGCGCGTGCCGGGTGGTCCCGCGTGCATTCATGAGTTGAGCGGGCAGTTTCCTTTTTCTTAGAAACACGCGTGCCTCTTGTCTGCTGCTGCTCTCGTGAAAGAGCTTTCCGCCTCCTCTTCCAGGAGCCCGAAGACGAGGTGTTTCTGGCCATCGCGAAGGCCATGGAGGAGATGGTGGAGGACAGCGTGGACTGCTACTGGGCCATCCGCAGCTTCGTCAGCCAGTTGAGGAAGTACCGGGACGCTCTGCCCCAGCTGGTGAGGAACACTCCCACCTCCCTCCGACGTGCTCACTCGGGAGCCCTCCATAGGAGGCGTCAGCACGTGTCGTCTGGGAAGGGCCAGGCGGGCAGCACTGTTGGCTCTGCAGGCAAGCTGGTCACACACAAACAGCAGAGACAGTCCAGGCAGTGGAGATGCCCGGGGCTGGCGCACTGCTTCATGACATCCTTTGTTCCAGAGCAGCAGCCACTGGCTTTATCTGCACTTGTCCCTCAGGACTAGTTCAGTTGGCAGAGTGGGTTACTCATTGGGCTGCTAACTGCAAGGCCAGCAGTTCAAACCAACTAGTCAGACTTTGGGAGGAAGGTGAGGCTTTCTGCTCCCGTGGAGACTTGCAGCCTTGGAAGCCCACAGGGAGGTTCCACTCCATCCGACAGAGTAGGTCAGAATTGCCCAAGATGACAGTGGGTTAGGTTTGGACTTACATAAGATGTAAGTGTATATGCAGGGGCTTCTAAAAATTCATGGGAAGCTTCTGTTCTCTCATAATTCTGTTTTCCCACCCACTTTGTGAAACCCTCTGATAGTGGAAAAGCCAGACAGCAGAAGCCTTCTCCTTGTCTCCCAGTGACCAGGAGCCCTGTCGGAGGGGAGGGTGGCTGCCCCGAGCTGCCCAGCTCCACCACGCTGACAGTGACGCTGACTTGGACGGGCGCTCTGCTCGCTGGTCTGGGGCTTGGCCTTAGGTGTGCTCTCAAGAAGGCTGCGGCAGCACCCCTACCATGGCCCCTGTATTCTAGGCAGGAAGGAGGGCGAGGGCAAGGACACAAGCCAGGGGCAAAGGAGCAGACCAGCCAGGTGGGTAGCTTCTACAGGTTTTGTACAGGACCCCCCTCTGTGTATGTCAGGAATGTGCACCCACCACCGCTGTGTGCAGCAGAACCTGGGGACCGTATTTGCCTCTTTGTTTTAAAGGCTGGCGCGCTGTGGTTCTGTTGGTGAAGAAGTTGGGAACCCACAGACCCGAATACGTTTACTCCGTAGCAGCAGCCGGAATCTGCCAGTCTCTCTCGCTTGTTCCTCTGGGAACCCCTGGTTCTCTCTCTCTTTTAAAATGAATTCTATTCCATTTTCCCCCCTGAATTTTTTCATTGGCAAACTATTTGGAAAGCGATAGCTCTGACTGGTGCAAGGGGCAGTCAGATGGGGACGGTGATAGCGGCAGAGCCCCCAGGAGCCGTGCTCTTACAGCCCCGGGGGACTCACGAGCTCCTGGGGAAGTTCCATGCCTTTCAGTTGCACCGCCCACACTCTATCCGGAGCCCCTCACACATGAGGGGAGGGGGGAGGTGTGTGTGCGTGCGCGTGCGTGCTGTGTGTGGTAACCTTAAAAAAAGAGAAGAGCTACAATTTCTTTGAACTTAATTCGCCATGAAGCGCTTGCTATAGAACCGCTGCCTTCGGTCCCTGTCTTTGTGAACCCCCTGTGGTTAGCGTTCCATTGGGCTATCTGCCCACTCAGCCAATAGCACACGATTTATTGACCAACGCTCTCTCACAGTTTGAAAGCTGGTAGGGAAAACTCCCTTTTATTGTCCTTTTTTTTAATTAAGTGTTGGCTATTTTGACATTTTCTTTTTAGAAATTAATTTTAGAATCAGGAAGCGAATTCCCCTAAGGACTGAATTTCCTCCTTTTTAAAAAGAGGGTTTGATTCACCTTGAATAAGCAGCTGAAGGAGATTGAGTAACAGGACTCTTCATGAATAACTATCGCCTTCTTGATGAGATCAGAAGAACTAGATGGTGCCCGATTCACTACCGTTTACTACGATTCTGTAACAGAATCCTGATCATAAGGGGGAAATGCACAACAGGTTTTAACATTTTCACAGAATCCAGACTTTCTAGAACAATGGGGTCTGGATGAACTCCTGAAACTATTGCTCTGAGATCGTCTTTAATTCTCAGGCCAAAAATATCCCCTGAGGTCTTCTTAAACCAAACAATAGTTTAACTTCACCAGAGCAAAGTGTTAGGCTTGAGGGGTGTGCTCTTTTAAGGTCTGGGACCCAAGTGGCAGCAGTAACTCAGAAGATTCCACAGGAACCAGAGGGGACAGTGAGTTTATTTAATGGGGAGGAACAGCTCAGAGAGGGAGGGGGAGTGTGACTGTGTAATCCCTGTCACTGAGTTGTACAGGTGGGAATTACTGAGACAGTGCACGCGCTGTGCTGTCTCAGTCATACCAGTGAAGCAGATTCCTTTCAGCTGAAT